ACGGTGACAACGAGGACGACGGCGTTGACCTGGGGACAGGGAGGGGACAGTGGGGACACTGAGGGGACAGGGAGGGGACAACAGGGACAATGAGGGGACAGGGAGGGGACAATGGGGGACACTGAGGGGACATTGGGGACATTGGGGACAGGGAGGGGACACTGAGGGACAGGGGACATTGGGGACACTGAGGGACAGGTGGACAGGGGGGACAACAGGACAGTGGGGACACTGAGGGGACAGCAGGGAGGACATGGGGACATTGGGGACAGGGGGACACAGGGACAGGGGGACATTGGGGACATCAAGGACAGGAGGGAGAGCGGGGACAGGAGGGACATTGGGGACACTGAGGGGACACTGGGGACTTGGGGACAGTGAGGGGACATTGGGGACATTGGGGACACTGAGGGGACGGGGGGACAACAGGGACACTGAGGGGACATTGGGGACATTGGGGACACTGGGGACACTGAGGGGACGGGGGGACAACAGGGACACTGAGGGGACATTGGGGACATTGGGGACACTGAGGGGACCTGGGGGACACTGAGGGGACAGTGGGGACATTGGGGACAGTGAGGGGACAGTGGGGACAGTGGGGACAGTGGGGACATCTAGGGGACATTGGGGACACTGGGGGACATGATGGGGACAGTGAGGGGACACTGGGGACAGTGGGGACACTGGGGACACTGGGGACAGTGGGGACATTGGGGACAGTGGGGACACTGGGGACACTGGGGACAGTGGGGACATTGAGGGGACAGTGGGGACAGTGAGGGGACAGTGGGGACACTGGGGACATTGGGGACAGTGGGGGGACATGGGGACAGTGGGGACATTGGGGACAGGAGGGACATGGGGGACAGGGGGGACATTGAGGGGACAACAGGGACAACAGGGACACTGAGGGGACATTGGGGACAGTGAGGGGACAGTGAGGGGACAGTGGGGACAGTGGGGACAGTGGGGACATTGGGGACATTGAGGGGACATTGGGGACATTGGGGACAGTGGGGACATTGAGGGGACATTGGGGACAGTGGGGACAGTGGGGACATTGGGGACACTGAGGGGACAGTGGGGACAGTGGGAACAGTGAGGGGACAGTGGGGACAGTGGGGACAGTGTGGGGACATTGGGGACAGTGGGGACATTGGGGACACTGGGGACAGTGGGGACATTGGGGACATTGGGGACAGTGGGGACACTGAGGGGACAGTGGGGACATTGGGGACATTGGGGACAGTGGGGACAGTGGGGACACTGAGGGGACATTGGGGACAGTGGGGACATTGGGGACAGTGGGGACATTGGGGACATTGGGGACAGTGGGGACAGTGGGGACACTGAGGGGACATTGGGGACAGTGGGGACATTGGGGACATTGGGGACAGTGGGGACATTGAGGGGACATTGAGGGGAGAAATGGGGCATTGGGGACAGTGGGGACATTGAAGGGACATTGGGGACAGTGGGGACATTGAGGGGACATTGAGGGGACATTGGGGACATTGAGGGGACACTGAGGGGACAGTGGAGACATTGAGGGGACATTGGGGACATTGGGGACAGTGAGGGGACAGTGGGGACAGTGGGGACATTGAGGGGACATAGGGGGGACATTGAGGGGACACTGAGGGGACACTGGGGACAGTGGGGACATTGGGGACACTGAGGGGACAGGGGGATATTGGGGACATTGGGGACAGTGAGGGGACACTGGGGACACTGAGGGGACAGTGAGGGGACACTGGGGGGTCATGGGGGACATTGAGGGGACATTGGGAACAGTGAGGAGACACTGGTGACATTGGGGTGACACTGGGGGTCAGGGGGTGACAGGGGGTGACACTGGTGACATTGGGGTGACACTGGGGGTCAGGGGGTGACAGGGGGTGACAGGGGGTCTCACCGCCAGGATGACGATGACGGGTCCTTGGAAGCTCCAGCGGAACCCCGGGCCAGGGACAGCCAACAGCTGGAATGGGGACATGGGGGGTACTGGGAGGGACTGGGAGGGACTGGGGACACTGGGGGGCACTGGGAGGGATTGGGAGGGACTGGGAGGGCTGGGAGGGACTGGGAGGGGATTGGGAGGGGCTGGGAGAGAATTGGGGGACTGGGAGGGAATTGGGAGGGGCTGGAAGGAACTGGGAGGGACTGGGGGAACTGGAGGGCACTGGGAGGGACTTGGGGAGGATTGGGAGGGGATTGGGAGGGGCTGGGAGGGAATTGGGGGTGACTGGGAGGACTGGGATTACTGGGAGAGACTGGAGGGGACTGGGAATACTCACTAAGAGGGATCCTGCAGCCCCTCCCTTCCCTTCCCCCCTGGGGTCCCAAAGCCCCCAAACCCCCCACTCACTATCTGGGGTCCCGAAGCCCCTCCCTTTCCCCTCCCCATCCCTCCTCTCAGGGGTCCCGAAGCCCCCCAAACCCCCCACTCACTATTTGGGGTCCCATAGCCCTCCCATTTCCCCTCCCCACTCGCTCCCTTTAGGGGTCCTAAAGCCCCCTTCCCCCAAACCCCCACTCACTATCTGGGGTCCCGAAGCCCCTCCCCTTCCCCCTCTCCTCAGGGGTCCCAAAGCCCCCAAAGCCCCCACTCACTATCTGGGGTCCTAAAGCCCCCAAACCCCCCAAAGCTCCCCCACTCACTATTTGGGGTCCCGTAGCTCCCCTGTGCCCCCAAACCCCCACTCACTATTTGGGGGTCCCAAAGCCCCTCCCTTCCGTCCCCCATCCTCGCCCTCAGGGGTCCCAAAGCCCCCACTCACTATCTGGGGGTCCCAAAGCCCCCCAAACCCCCCACTCACTATCTGGGGTCCCAAAGCCCCCAAACCCCCACTCACTATCTGGGGTCCCAAAGCCCCCAAACCCCCTCACTCACTATCTGGGGTCCCGAGCCCCTCCCTTTCCCTCCCCCATCCCCGCCCTCAGGGGGTCCCAAATCCCCAAACCCTCCCAAACCCCTCACTCACTATCTGGGGTCCCATAGCCCCCAAACCCCCTCACTCACTATTTGGGGGTCCCAAGCCCCTCCCTTTTCCCCTCCCCATCTCTCTCGAGGGGTCCCAAAGCCCCCAAACCCCCACTCACTATCTGGGGGTCCCAAAGCCCCCTCTCCCCCCAAACCCCCCACTCACTATGTGGGGTCCCAAGCCCCTCCCATTTCCCTCCCCACTGCTCCCTTTAGGGGTCCCAAAGCCCCCAAACCCCCTACTCACTATTTGGGGTCCCGAAGCCCTCCCTTTCCCTCTCCCCATCCCCCGCCCTCAGGGGGTCCCAAAGCCCCCCACTCACTATCTGGGGTCCTGAAGCCCCCTCGTGCCCCAACCCCCTCAGGGGGTCCTAAAGCCCCCCAAACCCCTCACTCACTATTTGGGGTCCTGAAGCCCCTCCCCTTTCCCTCCCCATCCCCGCCCTCAGGGGTCCCAAAGCCCCCAAAGCTCCCCCAAAGCCCCCACTCACTATCTGGGGTCCCGTAGCCCCGGGAAGGCGGTGGCAGCCACGGCGACCACCAGGGCGGGCCCCCTGCACCCCAAACCCCTCAGGGGTCCCAAATCCCCAAAACCCCCCAAAGCCCCCCACTCACTATCTGGGGTCCCGAAGCCCCCCAAAGCCCCCACTCACTATCTGGGGGTCCTGTAGCCCCCAAACCTCTCACTCACTATTTGGGGTCCTGAAGCCCTCCTTTTCCCTCCCCATCCTCTCGAGGGGTCCCAAAGCCCCCAAACCCCCCCACTCACTCATCTGGGGTCCCAAAGCCCCCTCCCCCCCAAACCCCCACTCACTATGTGGGGGTCCCAAAGCCCCCAACCCCCACTCACTATTTGGGGGTCCCGGAGCCCCTCCCTTCCTCCCCCATCCCTCTGCCCTCAGGGGGTCCCAAAGCCCCCAAAACCCCCCAAATCCCCCACTCACTATTTGGGGTCCCGTAGCCCCCGGGAAGGCGGCAGCAGCCACGGCGACACTCAGGGGCGGGCCCCCTGCACTCCCAACCCCCTCAGGGGGTCCCAAAGCCCCCAAAGCCCCCCCAGACCCCTCACTCACTATCTGGGGGCCCCGTAGCCCCCAAACCCCCACTCACTATTTGGGGGTCCCAAAGCCCCCCAAACCCCTCACTCACTATTTGGGGGTCCCGAAGCCCCTCCCCTTTCCCTCCTCCATCCCCCGCCCTCAGGGGGTCCCGAAGCCCCTCACTCACTATTTGGGGGTCCCGTAGCCCCCCGGGAAGGCAGAGGCAGCCACGGCGACCACCAGGGCGGGCCTCTGCAACCCCCCAGCAGCAACAACCGTGGGCTCAGCCACGGGGGAAAAGACCTGAACCAGCAACGTGCAGGAACAGCCCCTCCAAAAACATCCAGGAGAAAACAGCCAGGAAAGAGAGGTGTAACAGCACCGCCACCCCCCGGCACAGCACCTGGGGGGGGAAAATACCCCAAAAATAACCCAAAAATACCCCAAAAATAACCCAAAAATCATCAAAATCCCGATAAAAACACAATAAAATCACATTTAACCCCCCCAGGAACAGCCCCTCCAAAAACATCCAGGAGAAAACAGCCAGGAAAGAGAGGTGTAACAGCACCGCCACCCCCCGGCACAGCACCTGGGGGGGGGAAATACCCCAAAAATAACCCAAAAATCATCAAAATCCTGATAAAAAATGGATAAAATCACAATAAAACACCCCCAGGAACAGCCCCTCCAAAAACATCTAGGAGAAAACAGCCAGGAAAGAGAGGTGTAACAGCACCGCCACCCCCCGGCACAGCACCTGGGGGGGGAAAATACCCCAAAAATAACCCAAAATCCTGATAAAAATCATCAAAATCCTGATAAAAAATGGATAAAATCCTGATAAAATCACAATAAACCCCCCCAGGAACAGCCCCTCCAAAAACATCCAGGAGAAAACAGCCAGGAAAGAGAGGTGTAACAGCACCGCCACCCCCCGGCACAGCACCTGGGGGGGGAAAATACCCCAAAAATAACCCAAAAATCATCAAAATCCTGATAAAATCACAATAAAATCACAATTAACACCCCAGGAACAGCCCCTCCAAAAACATCCAGGAGAAAACAGCCAGGAAAGAGAGGTGTAACAGCACCGCCACCCCCCGGCACAGCACCTGGGGGGCAAAAATACCCCAAAAATAACCCAAAATCCTGATAAAAATCATCAAAATCCCGATAAAATCACAATAAAATCACAATGAACCTCCCCAGGAACAGCCCCTCCAAAAACATCCAGGAGAAAACAGCCAGGAAAGAGAGGTGTAACAGCACCGCCACCCCCCGGCACAGCACCTGGGGGGGGAAAATACCCCAAAAATAACCCAAAAATCATCAAAATCCTGATAAAATCACAATAAAATCACAATTAACACCCCAGGAACAGCCCTCCAAAAACATCCAGGAGAAAACAGCCAGGAAAGAGAGGTGTAACAGCACCGCCACCCCCGGCACAGCACCTGGGGGCAAAAATACCCCAAAATAACCCAAAATCCTGATAAAAATCATCAAAATCCTGATAAAATCACAATAAAATCACAATGAACCTCCCCAGGAACAGCCCCTCCAAAAACATCCAGGAGAAAACAGCCAGGAAAGAGAGGTGTAACAGCACCGCCACCCCCCGGCACAGCACCTGGGGGGGGAAAATACCCCAAAAATAACCCAAAATCCTGATAAAAATCATCAAAATCCTGATAAAAAATGGATAAAATCCTGATAAAATCACAATAAACCCCCCCAGGAACAGCCCCTCCAAAAACATCCAGGAGAAAACAGCCAGGAAAGAGAGGTGTAACAGCACCGCCACCCCCGGCACAGCACCTGGGGAAAATACCCCAAAAATAACCCAAAATCATCAAAATCCTGATAAAATCACAATAAAATCACAATTAACACCCCAGGAACAGCCCCTCCAAAAACATCCAGGAGAAAACAGCCAGGAAAGAGAGGTGTAACAGCACCGCCACCCCCCGGCACAGCACCTGGGGGGCAAAAATACCCCAAAAATAACCCAAAATCCTGATAAAAATCATCAAAATCCCGATAAAATCACAATAAAATCACAATGAACCTCCCCAGGAACAGCCCCTCCAAAAACATCCAGGAGAAAACAGCCAGGAAAGAGAGGTGTAACAGCACCGCCACCCCCCGGCACAGCACCTGGGGGAAAATACCCCAAAAATAACCCAAAATCCTGATAAAAATCATCAAAATCCCGATAAAATCACAATAAAATCACAATGAACCCCCAGGAACAGCCCCTCCAAAAACATCCAGGAGAAAACAGCCAGGAAAGAGAGGTGTAACAGCACCGCCACCCCCGGCACAGCACCTGGGGGAAAATACCCCAAAAATAACCCAAAATCCTGATAAAAATCATCAAAATCCCGATAAAATCACAATAAAATCACAATGAACCCCCCCAGGAACAGCCCCTCCAAAAACATCCAGGAGAAAACAGCCAGGAAAGAGAGGTGTAACAGCACCGCCACCCCCCGGCACAGCACCTGGGGGGGGAAAATACCCCAAAAATAACCCAAAAATAACCCAAAAATCATCAAAATCCCGATAAAATCACAATAAAATCACAATGAACCCCCCCAGGAACAGCCCCTCCAAAAACATCCAGGAGAAAACAGCCAGGAAAGAGAGGTGTAACAGCACCGCCACCCCCCGGCACAGCACCTGGGGGGCGAAAATACCCCAAAAATAACCCAAAATCCTGATAAAAATCATCAAAATCACAATAAAATCACAATAAAATCACAATGAACCCCCCCAGGAACAGCCCCTCCAAAAACATCCAGGATGCCCAGCAGGAAGGGGCCCTGGGACCCCCAAACCCCCCATAAATCCCCATTTAACCCCATAAATCCCCCATTTAACCCCATAAATCCCAATTTTAACCCCATTTTAACCCCATAAATCCCATACCTGGTTGTGTGTGGCGTGGATGCCCAGCAGGAAGGTGCCCTGGGACCCCCAAACCCCCCATAAACCCCCATAAACCCCCATTTAACCCCATAAATCCCCCAAAAATCCCCCATTTAACCCCATAAATCCCCATTTTAACCCCATAAATCCCAATTTTAACCCCATAAATCCCATACCTGGCTGTGTGTGCCGTGGATGCCCAGCAGGAAGGGGCCCTGGGACCCCCAAACCCCCCATAAATCCCCATAAACCCCCATTTAACCCCATAAATCCCCCCATAAATCCCCATTTAACCCCATAAATCCCATAAATCCCCCATAAATCCCCATTTAACCCCATAAATCCCCCATAAATCCCCATTTAACCCCATAAATACCATAAAACACCCATAAATCCCCCATAAACCCCATAAATCCCCATTTTAACCCCATTTAACCCCATAAATCCCCATTTTAACCCCATAAATCCCCATTTTAACCCCATAAACCCCCCATAAACCCCCATAAATCCCCATAAATCCCAATTTTAACCCCATAAATGCCCCTTACCTCACTGTGTGTGGCGTGGATGCCCAGCAGGAAGGGGCCCTGGGACCCCCAAACCCCCCATAAACCCCCATTTAACCCCATAAATCCCCCCATAAACCCCCATTTAACTCCATAAATCCCCATTTAACCCCATAAATCCCCATTTAACCCCATAAATCCCCCATAAACCCCCATTTTAACCCCATAAATCCCCATTTTAACCCCATTTAACCCCCATAAATCCCCATTTTAACCCCATAAATCCCCATTTTAACCCCATAAATCCCCCCCAGGACCCCCATAAATCCCCATTTTAACCCCATTTAACCCCATAAATCCCCATTTAACCCCATAAATCCCCCCCAGGACCCCCATAAATCCCCATTTTAACCCCATTTAACCCCATAAATCCCCATTTAACCCCATAAATCCCCCATACCTGGTTGTGTGTGGCGTGGATGCCCAGCAGGAAGGTGCCCTGGCACCCCCAAACCCCCCATAAACCCCCATAAATCCCCATTTAACCCCATAAATCCCCATTTAACCCCATAAATCCCCATTTAACCCCATAAATCCCCATTTTAACCCCATTTTAACCCCATAAATCCCAATTTTAACCCCATAAATCCCCCATACCTGGCTGTGGGTTCTGTGGATGCCCAGCAGGAAGGTGCCCTGGGACCCCCAAACCCCCCATAAACCCCCATTTTAACCCCATTTAACCCCATTTAACCCCATAAATCCCCATTTAACCCCATAAATCCCCATTTTAACCCCATAAATGCCCCATACCTGGCTGTGTGTGGCGTGGATGCCCAGCAGGAAGGTGCCCTGGGACCCCCAAACCCCCCATAAACCCCCATAAATCCCCATTTTACCCCATAAATCACCATTTTAACCCCATAAATCCCCAATTAACCCCATAAATCCCCCCCAAGACCCCCATAAATCCCATAAATCCCCCATAAATCCCTATAAATCCCCCATAAATCCCCTATAAATGCCCCATACCTGGCTGTGTGTGGCGTGGATGCCCAGCAGGAAGGTGCCCTGGCACCCCCAAACCCCCCATAAATCCCCATTTATCCCCATTTTAACCCCATAAATCCCCATTTTAACCCCATAAATCCCCATTTAACCCCATAAATCCCCATTTTAACCCCATAAATCCCCATTTTAACCCCATAAACCCCCCTTACCTCACTGTGTGTGGCGTGGATGCCCAGCAGGAAGGTTCCCTGGGACCCCCAACCCCCCCATAAACCCCCATAAATCCCCATTTAACCCCATAATCCCCCAGGACCCCCGTAAATCCCATAAACCCCCCATAAATCCCCATTTTAAACCCATAAATCCCAATTTTAACCCCATAAATCCCCATTTAACCCCATAAACCCCCCATAAATCCCCATTTTAACCCCATAAATCCCCCCCAGGACCCCCATAAATCCCCATTTTAACCCCATTTAACCCCATAAATCCCCCATTTAACCCCATAAATCCCCCATTTAACCCCATAAATCCCCATTTTAACCCCATAAACCCCCCATAAATTCCCATTTAACCCCATTTTAACCCTATAAATCCCCCATTACCTGGTTGTGGGTTCCATGGATGCCCAGCAGGAAGGTTCCCTGCCCCACCAGCAGGCTCAGGCTCAGGTGCAGGTGCAGGGTGGTCCGAAGCCCCCCCAGGGCCCGGCACAGCCCAAAGGTGGCCACCGAGACCCCCAGGGCCACCAGGGAGACCCCCAGGGCCAGCTGGGTCACCAGGTCCAGCAGCCAGTGCTCCTGGGGGGGGAACAGGGGGGCTTAGAGACCCCCAGGGTCACCAGAGAGACCCCCAGGGCCAGCTCAGAGACCCCCAGGGCCACCAGGGAGACCCCCAGGGCCAGCTGGGTCACCAGGTCCAGCAGCCAGTGCTCCTGGGGGGGGAACAGGGGGGCTCAGAGACCCCCAGGGCCAGCAGAGAGACCCCCAGGGCCAGCAGAGAGACCCCCAGGGCCAGCTCAGAGACCCCCAGGGCCAGCTCAGAGACCCCCAGGGCCAGCTGGGTCACCAGGTCCAGCAGCCAGTGCTCCTGGTGAGCCAAAAACAGCCAAAATCACCCCAAAATCACCCCAAAATACCCTTAAAATACCCCCCAAAACCCCCCCTGGAGAGCAGGGGGGCTCAGAGACCCCCAGGGCCAGCTCAGAGACCCCCAGGGCCAGCAGAGAGACCCCCAGGGCCAGCTCAGAGACCCCCAGGGCCACCAGAGAGACCCCCAGGGCCAGCTCAGAGACCCCCAGGGCCAGCAGAGACCCCCAGGGCCAGCTCAGAGACCCCCAGGGCCAGCAGAGAGACCCCCAGGGCCAGCAGAGAGACCCCCAGGGCCAGCTGGGAGACCCCCAGGGCCAGCCCAGAGACCCCCAGGGCCAGCACAGAGACCCCCAGGGCCAGCTCAGAGACCCCCAGGGCCAGCAGAGAGACCCCCAGGGCCAGCAGAGAGACCCCCAGGGCCAGCAGGGAGACCCCCAGGGCCACCAGAGAGACCCCCAGGGTCAGCTGGGAGACCCCCAGGGCCACCAGGGAGACCCCCAGGGCCAGCTCAGAGACCCCCAGGGCCACCAGAGAGACCCCCAGGGCCACCAGAGACCCCCAGGGCCACCAGAGAGACCCCCAGGGCCAGCTCAGAGAGACCCCCAGGGCCAGCTGGGTCACCAGGTCCAGCAGCCAGTGCTCCTGGTGAGCCAAAAACAGCCAAAATCACCCCAAAATCACCCCAAAATACCCTTAAAATACCCTTAAAATACCCCCCAAAACCCCCCCTGGGGGGCAGGGGGGCTCAGAGACCCCCAGGGCCACCAGAGAGACCCCCAGGGCCAGCAGAGAGACCCCCAGGGCCATCAGAGAGACCCCCAGGGCCAGCTCAGAGACCCCCAGGGCCAGCAGAGAGACCCCCAGGGCCAGCTCAGAGACCCCCAGGGCCAGCAGGGAGACCCCCAGGGCCAGCTCAGAGACCCCCAGGGCCAGCAGAGAGACCCCCAGGGCCAGCTCAGAGACCCCCAGGGCCACCAGAGAGACCCCCAGGGCCAGCTGGGTCACCAGGTCCAGCAGCCAGTGATCCTGGTGAGCCCAAACCAGCCAAAATCACCCCAAAATCACCCCAAAATACCCTTAAAATACCCTTAAAATACCCCCAAAGCCCCCACAGGGCATGGGAGCTCAGAGACCCCAGGGCCAGCAGGGAGACCCCAGGGCCAGCTCCAGAGACCCCAGGGCCAGCTTAGAGACCCCCAGGGCCACCAGAGAGACCCCAGGGCCACTCAGGAGACCCCAGGGCCAGCTCAGAGACCCCCAGGGCCAGCTGGGTCACCAGGTCCAGCAGCCAGTGCTCCTGGTGAGCCAAAACCAGCCAAAATCACCCCAAAATACCCTTAAAATACCCCCCAAAATCCCCCCTGGGGGGCAGGGGGGCTCAGAGACCCCCAGGGCCAGCTCAGAGACCCCCAGGGCCAGGGAGACCCCCAGGGCCAGCTCAGAGACCCCCAGGGCCAGCTCAGAGACCCCCAGGGCCACCAGAGAGACCCCCAGGGCCAGCTCAGAGACCCCCAGGGCCAGCTCAGAGACCCCCAGGGCCAGCTCAGAGACCCCCAGGGCCAGCAGAGAGACCCCCAGGGCCAGCAGAGAGACCCCCAGGGCCAGCTCAGAGACCCCAGGGCCAGCTCAGAGACCCCAGGGCCACCAGAGAGACCCCAGGGCCAGCAGAGACCCCAGGGCCAGCGGCCAGTGATCCTGGGGGAGGAGGCTCAGAGACCCCAGACTGCCAGCGGGGAGGGGCTTGGGGGCTTTGGGGGAGTTTGGGGTCCTGAGGGAGTTCTGGGGGGACTGAGGGGGTTTGGAGGTCCCTGGGGCTTTGGGGGTCACTGGGGGGGGTGGGGCAGTTTGGGGGTCCTGGGGAGGTGGGGGGAGGTTTGGGGATCTCTGGGAGGGTCTGGGGGTCCCTGGAGGGGTTTGGGGTCCCTGGGGGTTTAAGGGGTGGTTGGGGGTCCCCGGGGGGTTTAAGGGGTAGTTTGGGGGTCCCTGGGGGTCTGGGGAGGACTTTGGGGGTCCTTAAGGGGTTTGGTGGTCCCTGGGGGGGGCTGGGGAGGTTTGGGGTCTCAGGGGAGTTTGGGGGGTCCTTGAGGAATTTGGGGGTCCCTGAGGGTCTAGGGGGAATTTGGGGGTCACTAGGGGGTCTGGGGAGGAATTTGGGGGTCCCTGGGGGGGTTTAAGGGGCAGTTTGGGGGTCCTTGAGGGGAGTTTGGGGGTCCCTGGGGGGATTTGGGGGTCCCTGGGGGTGGTTGAGGTGTCCTTGAGGGGGTTGGGGGTGATTTTGGGGTGATTTTGGGGTAATTTTGGGTGATTTTTACTCACCTGGAGCTCGTGGAAGGTTGGGGGGTTTTGTGGGGGTTTTAGGGGGTATTTTGGGGTGATTTTGGGGCATTTTTGGGGTGATTTTGGCTCACCTGGAGCTCGTGGAAGGCCGAGGGTTTTGGGGGGTATTTTAAGGGTATTTTGGGGTATTTTGGAGGTGATTTTGGGGGCGATTTTAGGTGATTTTGACTCACCTGGAGCTCGTGGAAGGCTGGGGGTTTTGGGGGTGATCTAAAGGTATTTTGGGGCGTTTTTGGGGTGATTTTGGGTGATTTTTGCTCACCTGGAGCTCGTGGAAGGCTGGGGGTTTTGGGGGGTATTTTAAGGGTATTTTGGGGTATTTTGGGGTGATTTTGGGGCGATTTTGGGTGATTTTGGCTCACCTGGAGCTCGTGGAAGGCTGGGGGTTTTGGGGGGTATTTTAAGGGTATTTTGGGGTATTTTGGGGGTATTTTGGGGCGTTTTTGGCTGTTTTTGGCTCACCTGGAGCTCGTGGAAGGCTGGGGGTTTTGGGGGGTATTTTAAGGGTATTTTAGGGCGTTTTTGGGGTGATTTTGGGGTGATTTTGGGGCGATTTTGGGGTGATTTTGGCTCACCTGGAGCTCGTGGAAGGCCAAGGGTTTTAGGGGGTGTTTTTGGGGTATTTTGGGGTATTTTGGGGCATTTTTGGGGCAATTTTGGCTGTTTTTGGCTCACCTGGAGCTCGTGGAAGGCCGAGGGTTTTAGGGGGTATTTTAAGGGTATTTTGGGGTGATTTTGGGGTGATTTTGGCTGTTTTTGGCTCACCTGGAGCTCGTGGAAGGCCGGGGGTTTTAGGGGGTATTTTAAGGGTATTTTGGGGTATTTTTTGGGTGATTTTGGGGCATTTTTGGGGTTTTTTTCTCACCTGGAGCTCGTGGAAGGCCGGGGTTTTAGGGGTTGTTTTTGGGGTGTTTTGGGGTATTTTGGGGTATTTTGGGGGTATTTTGGGGTGATTTTGGGTGATTTTTACTCACCTGGAGCTCGTGGAAGGCTGGGGGTTTTGGGGGGTATTTTTGGGGTATTTTAATGATATTTTGGGGTGATTTTGGGGTGATTTTGGGGCGTTTTTGGGGTTTTTTGGCTCACCTGGAGCTCGTGGAAGGCCAGCAGCACAGCAAAGCTGGTCAGGTGGTCGCAGGCACAGACGGTGCCCCCAGGGGGGGGGGTCCCGTTTTTGGGGGGCACCTCCCGACACCCCCCCGTGTCCCAGCGCAGCTCCCGGGGGTCCCAGAAGGCACAGAGGACCCTCCCCCCCAATTTGGGGTCCTGGGGGGGGGGTTAAAAGGGTCCCCATCAGTCCTGGAGTGTCCCCTCATCACTTTATGGGGGTCCCTCATCCCCTTTTTTGGGGGGGTCCCCTCCTTTATGGGGGTCCCCACCCTCTTTTTGGGGCCCCCAAAACCCCTCTGGGGATCCCCTCCCTCTTTTTGGGGTCCCCCCCCCTCTTTTTGGGGTCCCCAAAACCCCCTTTTGGGGATCCCCCCCTTCTTTTTGGGGTCCCCAAACCCCCTTTGGGGATCCCCACCCTCTTTTTGGGGTCCCTTTTGGGGTCCCCCCCCTCTTTTTGGGGTCCCCAAACCTCATTTGGGGATCCCCCCCCTTTATTTGGGTCCCCAAAACCCCTTTGGGGATCCCCCCCTCCCTTTTTTTGGGGTCCTCAAACCCCCTCTGGGGATCCCCTCCCTCTTTTTGGGGTCCCCAAAACCCCTTTGAGGGTCCCCCCCCCTATTTTGGGGTCTCCCCTTCCCATTTTGGGGGTCCCCCCACTCTTTTTTGGGGTCCCCAAACCCCTTTTGGGGTCCCCCAACCCCCTCTCTTTTAGAGGTCCCCCTTTAGGGTTCCCAATCACCCCTCCCCAACCCCCCAGTCCTTGTGCCCTTTTGGGGTCCCCACTCCCCTTTAGGGTCCCTCAAACCCCTTTTGGGATCCCCCTTTTTTGGGGTTCCTCAAACCCCTTTGGGGCTCCCCCTTTTTGGGGTCCCCCTCTTTTTGGGGTCCCCCTCTTTTTGGGTCCCCTCCCCCTTTGGGAGGTCCCCAACCATCCCCTCCCCACCTCCCCTTTTTGGGGTTCCCCTCCCCTTTTTGGGGTCTCCTCCCCCATTTTGGGGTCCACCCCCTCTTTGGGGTCTCCTCCCCCATTTTGGGTCCCCCTCCCCTTTTGGGATTCCCTTTTCACCCTTTGGGGTCCCCTCTCCCCTTTTTTGGGGTCTCCTCCCCCATTTTAGAGTTCCTCCCTCCCCTTTGGGGTCCCCTTTTCACCCTTTGGGGTCCCCCTCCCCTTTTGGGGTCCCCCTCCCCTTTTGGGGTCTCCTCCCCCATTTTGGGGTCCCCCCATTTTGAGGTCCCCACCCCCAGTTTTGGGGTCTCCCCAACCCCCAATGTCCCCCCCACCCCCATTTTTGGGGTCACCCCTCCCAATTTTGGGGTCTCCCTCCCAACTTCGGGGTCTCCCCACCCCCAATGTCCCCCCACCCCCATTTTAAGGCCCCCACCCCCCAGTTTTGGGTCTCCCCAATTCGGGGTCCTACATCCCGGGGGGTGGTTCTGGAATCTCAGGGTCCCTCCACCCCCAATTTGGGGTCCCCATTCCCCATTTTTGGGGTCTCCGCCCCAGTTTTGGGGTCTCCCCCATTTTAAGGTCCCACCCCCAATTTCGGGGTCTCCTCCCCAATTTCAGGGTCTCCACCCCCAATTTCAGGTCTCCCCATTTCGGGGTCTCCCCATTTTTGGGGTCTCCCCAATTCGGGGGTCCCACGTACCGGGGGTTCTGGAATCTCAGGGTGACCCCACCCCCAATTTCAGGGTCTCCCCCAATTCGGGGTCTCCCCCATTTCGGGGGTCCCACGTCCCGGGGGTCTGGAGATCTCAGGGTCACCCCAGGGGGTCCCCTAATCCCTCCCCACCCCCATTTTTGGGGTCTCCCACCCCCAAAGTCCCCCACCCCCAATTTGGGGTCCCCACCCCCATTTTGGGGTTTCCCCAATTTCGGGTCTCCCCATTTCGGGGTCCAGAACCTGGGGGTGGTCTCAGAATCTCAGGGTCCCCCACCCCCCAATTTGAGGTCCCCCACCCCCATTTTGGGGTCTCCCCATCCCCACTTTAAGGTCCCCACCCCCCCAATTTTGAGGTCTCCCCCCATTTCAGGGTCTCCCCTCCCCAAATTCAGGGTCTCCCCAATTCAGGGGTCCCACGTACCGGGGGTGCTGG